GTGGATTGTACCACATAGGAAGAAAAAAAAAGACCCCACAAAGGGACACAACTAATTTACTATTTGCAAACTAGTGAACATGAACTACAATGTATCTAAACAGATGTGCCCCCACTGTGCATGTCATTAGTACATTGTAGTAATTATATAAATATCATGGTTCTATATAGAGAGAGAGAGTAACCTCTTTGTGATTATACATGTACATTTACAAATAAATGTTTTGATTGGTGGTGATGGGTGAATGTGAGGTGTAAAGGAGAGTTTGGAGAGGAAGAAATAGGGAAGGTCGGAGTCAGACAGAGGAAGATAAAGGAAATTCAAAATAGTAGAGATGAAGAGATGGGAGCTAGGAGAAGGATAAATTAAAGACCCACCCCACTTTTTTCCAGGCCACCTTTCCATTTTGTATCTATTTTTAGAACAAAATGATTGACTTAATTACAGTCTGATTAAAAAAAATTAGGTATATCCTAATATACATGTATAACTTTACAGTGCTGTATATTGCTTGGTGAGGTTTACACCAGACCCAGGTGCAACAGACAAAAAGTGCCTGTGCCAGGTCCATCTTATTTCAACATATCTATTTATTAAGTTGTCAGCATACATATATATTGCCAATAAATTATATTACATTCATCTGGTGATAAAGTAGATGATAAGAATATGACAAACTTACAGAAATATGCAGTTGAATTTACTCTGCTCTTTCTTGTCTGCTTTCTCAGCCGCATCATGACGTAATATGTGACGTACGGCATTCCATAAAAAAACCTACTTTTGGTTTCGTTAAATAAGTGTATACCCCGTAGTCATCAAAGTTCCTACTTCGACGCGGAAATAAATTTTCAAAATAAAGATTTAAAGGACAAAAATTATAGTTATTTAGATATTCCCCGTTCTGTGATGAATACGAAATTGAATGGCCAATTTATCCAGGTTCTACTTGCACTTCCTGTGCCGGAACTCAATCCGGAATTTATTCGTCATAGTTCTAATTTTACTCTCGCTTTCATATTTCCCGCGTGGAGATCAGCAAGTTGTTTACCGATGAAATTTGGCTGTTTTGTCTCTATCAGATGACAGTGTAAGTTTGCAAACATGTTTTGATAATTATTTTGATGATGTGTAACAGATTTAAAGCCATTCTTGTTATGTGCTGCTTCATAAATGCAAATTTGAGCTGTTATGTACTGAGGGCTGATTTTGTCAATGTATGGTGCGCATTTTCTGTCACATGAATTAAGTGATAACTTTCATGTTGGTTATGTGCGAGAATAATTGGCTGTTGTAAATCTTTTGTATCTTTTTATGTAGTTATAGTTAATTTCTACATGTTATTTTGGTTTTCATTTGCAGTTTTTCACCTGATTGAATAAAGGAATCATTACACTTTTGTTCATCATGTTAGCTGTATGCAAACCTACCTAGAGGCAGCACAGTGAAAAAACTAGGACATTTATCTCACAACGCACTGTTACATGCTACTTCTACGATGTACACAGATGGTTACGACGATATAGTAGATAGAGATGATAGACCAGTCAGAATGGCATCAAAATCAGAAAAGGGTCAAGAGTACTACAAAGAACAGAAAGAAATGTTTGAAAAAAGATTGAAATCATCTGGTTTTATGCTCAGTAACACTATAGAAACCTATGATCAAACTCTACCGAAATCAATAACTGGACTAGAAATGGCACAAGCAGACCTACACACAGCATACAAGAGATACGACAAAGATGCGAACAGTTATTTAGACTTTCTCACGAGATCACGTGAAACAGAAGCTCAAGAGGACATCAATGCATACTGGGAAATCATGAATGACCTTAAAAAGAAATACAACTTTCTAATGGACAAAATCACACTTCAACGAGACTCTGTTGAGACAAGATCTATGACAAAATCACATAAAACGGATTATTCTTCCAAAAGTCAGAAGTCAAATGTTTCAGAAGCTGCACTTAAAAGAGCAAAAGCCGAGGCTGAAAAAGTGAAACTCAAATTCGCAGAACAAGAAGCTACACTAAAAAAAGAACAGTTTGATAAAACGTTACAGATCGAATTGCTTCAACAACGTAAGACTGCCGCAGCAGCGGACGCCGAAGCCACATACCTCGAAAAACAATCAGCCGCCAATGACAATGAAGCAGCCAAGTTACCCGAGGAGGAATTGAGTCCTTTGGAGAAAACTTTGCAATTTTTAGATAAAATAAACACAGGTACCAATGATGCCCAGCCTCCGCATACAAGTGACATCCCACAAGACAAGCCTCTTTCACCTGATTGTGAACCTTTTGTGCCAAAATCAACTTTGCACGCGGTCTCCTCGACTCCTAAAGTGCCTTCACATATTGTACAGAAACGGCACAGTGACGGAACAGGTGTCCAGAGAAAATTTGACGATGAAGCTCCAGTCTTGAATCATTTATCGCCAGGAAACTTTGTCATGAAGAAAAACCTACTCTTAGAAACCTTTCAACAACAAAAGTTTGATGATAAGCCAGACTGTTACATTGTTTGGAAGAAACAATTTAAAGTCATCACCTCAAACATTGGGTGCACACCTTTAGAGGAGTTAACCTTGATAACCAACTGTGTGCAGACAGGATCCGAAGCTTTCCATCTGATAATGAGCTCGAGAGCAGCATGTGCAGATGATCCACTGCAGTGTTTGTCAAATATTTGGGAACGCTTGGATCAACGTTTTGGTAGTGCCGAGTTACTAGAGTCAACATTGAAAACAAAACTGTTCAACTTGCCGAACATGATCGACCGTAAAGATCTTTATGAACTCCATGACATTCTGTGCGAGATTCAAGCTGTGAAAGCAACCATTGAGTACTCCTCAATATTCTCCTATTTGGATTCCTCTTTAGGTATCAAGCCCATTGTCGAGAAACTACCGAAAGGTATCCAGGACAAATGGATCAACAGAGTCGTTAGCTGCAAAAAGGACCGTAAAATTATTTTCCCTCCCTTCACAGAGTTTGTGAAGTTTATAGGCGAAATCAGCACCATTCGAAACGACCCAGGTCTGATAAATGAAACTGCTACCAACTGGAATCAAGGTCGAAAGCCTAGCACAGGCAAACCACAAAATGTGACGAACAATCATAAACCGAGAGGTCAGCATATCATCTCTACACACAGAACTGAAATCAGCCCTGGCAGCATGAACGATACCAAACGCACATGTCTGATTCACAAAGGCTCTAGACACACCATCAATCAATGTAAAGCGTTTAAACAAAAGAACTTACAAGAGCGGAAGAAGATATTACGTGATCATAATTTCTGTTTAAGGTGTTGTGATACGTCAGATCATTTTGCAAAAAACTGTCATGCAAAGATTGAATGTGACTTATGCAAATCAACCACACACAGCTCAGCTCTTCACGTTGAAAACCATAGCTACCAAAATGAGGATGCTAACAATTCCGAGAGAAAGCATGGCGAGGAGGTTGTCAGGGCGCGATGTACAGACATCTGTGGAGTACCTAATTTCACAGGTAAATCTTGTGCAAGGATTGTCCCAGTACGTATATATCCTCACAATCAACCAGAGAATGCAGTCCTTTCCTATGCGATGCTTGATGATCAGAGCAACCGTACTCTAGGAAAAAGCTCATTGTTCGATCACTTCTCTATTAACTCTTTACCGACGGAATATACCATGGAATCATGCGCAGGAAAGTTGACAACTACTGGAAGAATCGTCGAAGGTTTGATAGTTGAAGGCATTTATGACAAAGTTCAACTACAGTTACCTCCTGTTTTGGAATGTGAGAACATGCCTGACAATCATGCAGAAATTCCAACTCCCGACATTGTTCTCCACTATCCTCACATGCATGACATATCGGATTATCTGCTTCCATACGACAAATCTATGCATATCATGCTATTATTAGGTCGTGACTTACCTGAAGCTCACCACGTCATCGAACAGAGGATAGGCCCACCACGATCACCCTTTGCACAAAGATCGCCGTTAGGGTGGACTATCATCGGAAACGTGTGCTTATCAGGTCAACACCGTCCGTCATAAGTTGCTTCATATAGAACTTGTATCACTAGGAATGATCGACCAACAGGCTTAGAACCATGTGAACAGGTGGTTTGCATTAGAAAAGCCTCAGTGTTTAAAGAAAAACACAACCCCACACAAACAACGTTGAATGTGTTCGAAACCACTACTCAGGACAACAAACCAGGACTTTCTATTGAAGATCGTCAGTTTTTGAATATCATGGACAGTGAATTCCAACTAAGCGAGGAAGGAAAATGGATTGCCCCATTACCATTCCGTGAGCCACATGATCACATGCCAGACAATTACAAACTTGCTCTGCATTGTGCCAAGTCGTTAGATGCATCACTGCATAAAAATCAAACCAAGAAACAACATTTTCTGGACTTCATGCAGAAATTATTCGACAATAACCACATTGAGATAGCACGTTATGTTCCACCAGAAAGAGAGCGTTGGTACCTCCCACTCTTCGGGGTCTACCACCCTCGTAAGCCGGAGCAGATTCGTGGAGTGTTTGACTCCTCAGCCAAACATATGAATGTCTCGTTAAACGACCAGCTTCTTCAAGGTCCAGACCTTATCAACAACCTTTTAGGTGTACTCATTCGATTCAGGAAAGAAATGGTCGGCGTAGTCGCAGATGTTCAACAAATGTTTCATTCATTTCTAGTACGAGAAGATCACCGTGACTTCCTGAGATTTCTCTGGCACGAAGACAATTTGATAGAAAATCCCCTTGTCACTTACCGTATGCGTGCACACGTTTTTGGCAACAAGTCTTCACCATCTATTGCTATGTATGGGTTACGGAGAATTGGCGACTTGGCTGCCAAAACCCATGGTGACGACATCAAAGAGTTTATCAAAAAATGACTTTTATGTTGATGACGGGCTCAGGTCTTGTCCTTCAAGCCAAGAAGCTATCAACTTGATCAGCAAAACCCAAGATGCCATGAAAATGCATGGAGGCCTACGTCTACATAAGTTCGCTTCCAACAGCAAAGCTGTAATGGACGATTTCGAACCTGGAGATCTAGCTAAAGGTATCGTCGATATGGATTTTGAAAAGGACACACCCACCCAACGAAGCTTGGGCTTGCTATGGGATCTAGGATCGGACTCATTTAAGTTTAGCATCTCAACCGAAACTAAAACTACAACACGTAGAGGGATCCTTTCTGTGATCAATAGTCTGTATGATCCTTTGGGATTTATCTCCCCGGTCACATTGAACGGCAAACTAATTCTCCGAAAGATCGTAGCTTCCACATGCGATTGGGACGATCCTTTGCCCGATGATTTGCTCACCGAATGGAACGCTTGGAGTCGTACACTATCCAAACTAGAGGATTTGCGTCTGCCTCGTGTCATTGTACCAAATCTCAGTACAGCTGTTTCCAAGGAACTAAGAATCTATTGCGATGCTTCTGAACGTGCCATCGCTGCTGTATGCTTTCTGCATGTAACATACCCGGATAGTTCATGTTCTACTGGATTCGTATTAGGGAAAGCCAAGCTTGCTCCATCAAGCTGTACTACCATTCCTAGACTAGAACTTTGCTCTGCAGTGTTAGCAGTAGAAATATCACAGAATGTAGTCGACCATCTCCAGACTAACTTAGACAACATTCAGTTCTTCAGTGACAGCAAAGTTACCTTGGGTTATATCCACAACAACACTAAGAGATTTTATGTATATGTTGCCAATCGCGTTGCTAAGATCCGCAGCTATACGGAACCTTTTCAGTGGAAATACATTCGTTCAGAGATGAATCCAGCAGATATTGGAACCAGGGGGATTCAGCCTAGCAATCTTCAAGCAAGTGCTTGGTTACTCGGTCCAGCAGATGATGGTGATTTACATCGTTCTCCAAATACGTTTGATTATAACCTAGTGCAACCAGAAGATGATGTGGAGATTCGTTCTCACAAAACTGAAGTTAAAGAATTTGTACCAAGTGAAGGTCTTGGTTCAAAAGTGTTTGAGAAATTTTCTGATTGGAATAGACTGATTACTGCGTTGGCCGCATTTCGTCGAAAGATTCAGCATTACATCAGTTTGAAACGTCAAAATAGTTCAAGATGTATGAGTGCTGTTGAATTGCTACTTAAAACGGAACATCATGTCATCAGAGAAGTCCAGTCAGTAACGTACTTGGATGAGATACGCTTGCTCAAGAACTCAAAACCTTTGAATAGGTGTAGCCCTATCGCGAGCCTTGATCCATTCATTGATGACCAGGGTCTTCTCAAAGTTGGAGGACGATTAACAAATCTGGGTTCCGACCTCTCCCTCAAAGCTCCTATCATCTTACCTGCCAAGCATCATATCACTGCTCATTGCTCGTAAATGCCACGAAAAGATTCGTCATCAGGGCAGACATCTCACAGAAGGCCATATTCGTTCTGCTGGGTTTTGGATTGTAGGCTCCAAAAGACTCGTTTCTTCCATCATCCACAAATGCGTCATTTGTAGAAAGCTACGAAAATCAACCGAAACACAAAAGATGTCGAGCTTACCTGTCGATCGTGTAACTCCCGGGCAGCCACCATTTTCGTCCGTTGGCGTTGATATGTTTGGTCCATTTGAAGTTGTTACTAGAAGAACTCGGGGAGGCTCTGCGAACAGCAAACGTTGGGGCGCTCTCTTCACGTGCCTTGTGACAAGGGCAGTGCATATTGAAATAGTGGAAGAAATGTCCACTTCCTCGTTCATAAATGCTATGCGACGCTTTATAGCAATTCGTGGGGATGTACTTTTGTTCCGCTCTGATAGAGGAACTAACTTTGTAGGGACAGCAAATGAGTTGAAGATTAATGTTGTCAATGTAGAGGATGGTCCAATTCATGATTTCTTGCTTCAGCATGGTATTTCTTGGATCTTCAACCCCCCACATTCCTCACACATGGGAAGAGTGTGGGAAAGGATGATTGGTGCGACCCGCCGTATATTAGAAGCTATGCTCCTACAACACAAATCCTGTCTTACTCACGAGGTGCTCTCAACATTCCTTGCTGAAGTTAGTCATATCATTAACTCAAGGCCATTAGTCTCCGTGACAACAGACCCCAACAATCCAATGATCCTCACTCCGTCAACTCTACTTACACAAAAACTCGGATTTGAAAATCGTATTTTATTGGATGTCGACAAATTCAATCGCAATGACTTGCTTCGTAAACATTGGAAAAGAGTCCAGAATCTTACCGCCATATTTTGGAAGCGTTACAAGGTTGAATATCTAAATACCCTACAAAACCGCCGAAAATGGACTGGGACCAAAAGAAACGTTTGTGTTGGTGATATTGTGTTATTGAAAGATTCAGAATTACCACGCAATTGTTGGCCTATGGGAATTGTTACCAATGTCATCCCAAGTTCCGACGACCTTGTGCGTAAAATTCAAATCAGAATTTCTGTAGAAGGCAAACCAAAGACATTTTTGCGTCCTATAAGTGAAGTGATTGTATTACTAGAAAATCAAATGTGAATCTTGTAATTCATGATGTAAGGTTAATCTTTAGATACTGAATGACTGTAGCCATGTTTTTGTTGTATTTAGTTGCTTACTTATAATATGTGTTTAAAAAACATGTATAGTGTATTTTCCTTTTGCAACTTGATCAAATGATATTTTCAATATCAGGCGAGGAGTGTGCCGGAACTCAATCCGGAATTTATTCGTCATAGTTCTAATTTTACTCTCGCTTTCATATTTCCCGCGTGGAGATCAGCAAGTTGTTTACCGATGAAATTTGGCTGTTTTGTCTCTATCAGATGACAGTGTAAGTTTGCAAACATGTTTTGATAATTATTTTGATGATGTGTAACAGATTTAAAGCCATTCTTGTTATGTGCTGCTTCATAAATGCAAATTTGAGCTGTTATGTACTGAGGGCTGATTTTGTCAATGTATGGTGCGCATTTTCTGTCACATGAATTAAGTGATAACTTTCATGTTGGTTATGTGCGAGAATAATTGGCTGTTGTAAATCTTTTGTATCTTTTTATGTAGTTATAGTTAATTTCTACATGTTATTTTGGTTTTCATTTGCAGTTTTTCACCTGATTGAATAAAGGAATCATTACACTTTTGTTCATCATGTTAGCTGTATGCAAACCTACCTAGAGGCAGCACACTTCCTGTTACAGAAAAAAAAAACGAGTATACCCTCCTGTGGCTTGTTCCAGAGTTTCCTTTGGGATTTATGTGCTCTAATCCCTTGAAACGACTGTGAATATGTATGTACTGTTAATTGTTGTCATATTTTGTGTTTAAAATGTAGATTCTTATTGTTATTCATTTTACAACGAAAATTTTCAGAGTAAATTTGGATCTCGTTTTCGTTTCAGGTTCAATAGAATAGTTCAATGTAACACGGCCAGGTGAATCGAATGGTTCCGTTTCATTGAAGTCATAATGAACTTATGCATTTTTATGCTAAGCGACATTTATTTGAAGGCTTTACTAAATTTTGAGTAGGTAATTAACATTAAAAGTGATTTTTAACTGTGTATATTGTTCTGACACACGTGCAGAGACTTGTAAACACGACTTTTACAGTGTATCACACAAAATATTTTAGGACGCAGGTCCCACAAAAGATCCAATTTTCTTGGGGATTAATCTCACAGATGTGAGGGTTATGAATGAAAAAAATTTCTTGTAATAATTAAACTGTTGCATTTGATATATTCTAATTATTTTATGCAGATTAAAAAAATCCATCTTTTCAGCATTATAATGTCTGTAAAACACATAAATCCAATTGGAATATCATAACTAAAATGGACTATTATATCTAATTTGGACAATAAGTTCCAATAACAACCTTATACAGTGTTTCCCTTTATTTCAAAGTAAAGCATTAGAGCTAGATCAACTGTATCTGGCTTTGGGTTGATGTTTATGACAAAACTCTGTGGACCTTACAACAATTAAATTTTATTTTATTTTTTTTTTTATTTCAAAGCGGCATTTTTATCAATTGAAGCGATTAATTTGGCCGGTATCTGGTTCTTAGGGAAATCATTACTTATATAGAAAGTTGCATGGTCAATAACATGTTCTGATGTCTGACATATGCTTCTATTGTGCAGTTATTAATGTACAAAACACAGGGTCTTCTGTTTTGCTCAAAACATGAAATACCAGTGCTGTTTAACATAAAAAAGTTGACAAAACATGGACCTTTCAGGTGATAACATGGAATTTATTGTATGTAATGACAGATCCTATTTAGTAATTATAGGAGTTAGCCCCTTTGACTGAAACAATTGGAATATCAGTATGGGTAGTAATATAATAAAAATTTTTATGATTTACTTTCTTTGTAGGAAATGCTTGTCAGAACAAAAGACTGAAAAAGACTGAAAAACTGCCTTTAAACACAGCCATCATTAATGTAAATGGATTCATAAGGAGCATCCAAACAATATGATATTAGGATCATCAGAGACTGGCAATTTTTTACCACTCACTGTGATAGATGCATCTAAATAAACATTGAAATGTTAATTTTTTTTTGTTCATTGCTTTTCCTCATATGTTATTAATATTGCATAATATTCTTGTGAATATCGCATGATTTTCACACGAAAAAACAGACAAAGTGGAATTCGCATGGATACCATGCGAAATTTTAGTCGCATGAAAATCGCATGAATTTCGCATTAAATTTGTGTGATAACATTCGCATGAAATTCGCATGTGGGACTTTTCGCATGATTTTTGTATGATTTTCGCATAAATTTCATGCGAAAAGGCAAACGCATGAAAATCATGCGAGCCACTTTTCCCTGTGTATATCGGCGCAGATGAATTATTTTGTAAAAAATAACAATGTTTAGAATGCTGGTATGTTTCTTTTGATGTTCTGTCAACAGTGTTTAAGAAAATTCCATGGACGTCTTGAATACTCAAGCGAGACAAGAGTCATTCTTCAGCGTCATGCATTGCTTATAGAACCGGAAAACAGTGACGTCGCGAAAGCCGTTTCAACATTTCTTCCTAAATATTGTCTTAAAAGCACATTTTTAGACTCATAAACGTTACAGATAATGTTAATTTTGTATTACAATCACAATACACGGATAGGTGTTATGTTGCAAATACGACTGCATGAAACTAAAAGGCTGCTCAAAGTCATGCGCACTGGGATAAGACTCGGCCTCGTTAAGTGTTACTTAGCACGTTTTCAAATACATATGTATCAGTGTAATGTATCATCGGCATTAGGAACTTTACTTAAAATTCATGCTTAGAGAAAAACGCATTTTTAAAATAAATATAGTCAGCAGACACTGTTTAACGAAGGCATTTTATGCAAAAATTAAAGATGAAACCATGGTACATGCACAATTTAGCCCCATGCTTTCCAAGTTATCTCTATGTGGATCAAAATTAGGTTTAAAAATATGACAGGATGTTTTTAAGCAAGTCCATTCTAGAATATTTGAATGAAAGAATGAGATGATCCAAAAAGAAAATACGATTGTCATAATATAGATGATAAATTAATAGTAACAAGCTTTCTTATATGTACCAATGCAATAAAAAAAATAAACTCTTAATGTCCTCTCATCTGGAGATCGTTGAGGGACTTTTGGGTAGTGTCCTTTTTAGATCTCGGAAAGCCTTGTAAAGTCTGTCTCTGTGTAAATGTTATTTGGTAGCTTTTAAGGGTTTATTGTGTGGTGAAATTTGAAGATATTGCTTAATTTCCTGGCCAGAACGTTGGGCGATATTGGCGCATAAAGAGTAGACACAGAGAGATTTGTCAGATATTTATAGTAACATTGATTTCCGTATTACCGTAGCATCCTCAAAGAGTTTGCTGAGCACGAGATTTGTTACCAGTCTTGCTCACTGAGAAATGTACGGAGACAGCTAAGAGATCAGGATCACTGTATGAGTAAGATCAATAAGAGAAACATAGGCCTCCAAAAGATTTTACTTTGTTTGAAACACATTTGAGAGATTATTGGGGGAACAAGCCATCTTTCTGGGGGTTTTCTTCGACTAAATACCTTTTCAACCATTGAAAAACTGTTGAAGGAACCATGGAGACTGTGAAGACCTGTGTGACACCACGATGTGATCATGTTGATGGTTGGAGTTCGCTGAAAGACCTAGTCAATTTTGTATCGCTCAGTAATCTCTCAATAGCCGTCAACTCTGTGTAATGGTACTAACCCTAACAAAAACAACTATAGTTAAAATGATTTACTATATTATACTATAGTCAACTATAGTTTACTATAGTATCAAAGTTTTTAACTATAGTAGATCAATTGAAAGTTTTTACTTAAGTAAATCAAAGTTTTGTTTTTACTATGGATTTCAGATT